TATATATATATATATATATGTATTCATAAAGAAAGAATCAATTATATTTTATAATTTCTTTGCAGAATGTCTGTTTTCATGGCAATCCCACGATTTGCATACAATTTACCAAAGTATGTACTAGGCCTGGGATAGTGGAAGAGTGTAGAATGAAAAAACTAATGTGATTTTTTTGTTATTAAATTATTAAATATTTGCAATGATGACAATGTTGTTTTAAAAACTACATTACGTATTTACATACAAGAGAATGTGAAATACACGAAAGTATAATGGAATTATACTTTCATTTGCAGATATAAATTATAACATCAAGATTCCTGTTATGTTACATATATATAGGTAAACAAATTTATTTAACTAGTAATAGATGTACAGAATAAAGTTTTTTTTTATAGCATCATTTTATCCATGTAACATGATAAATAATGACACGTTGCTACTGCTATGTATTAAAATTATTTGATAAAAAATTTTTTAAAAAGAATCATTTTATTTATCTCTTATGAATATATCTTTTTTATGAAAATGAGTATGTTATAGTTATGAAATGAGTATATATAAAAAACTGAATATCATATCAAATTCTATTTATAAAATTAAATTATTTTATATCAATTTTATTTGAATAAACATCTGTGATTTGAATATAAAGAAAAAGCTTATAGAAATAAAAAATATATAATAAAATATTTAAAATTAAAAATATCTATAAATACATGTTTTATAGTTTATTTTTAATTTAAAAATGATTAAAAAAATGTTTTATAATATGATTATATGAAATATTATAATAATATCAGATAAAATATTTAGATAAATAATAAACAAAATTAATATTAAATAATAAATTTAGATATTTATTAATTATCTAGATTTATTAATTCAACCATATACAATGTTTGGTATATAATCTTTTTATTATACATATATCTTTGACTTTAATATTATTAAATATTATTGTTTATAACCTAAATATATTAGTTTTTTTATGAATAAATTGAATTATTGATTATTGAACAAAATTTAATCAATATTTATCTTATTGATCTGATAAAAATTGAAAATTTTATAACATTATGTCGTTTGTTATCAAAAATATTTATCATTTTTTTAATATAAATATTCAAATGATGAAACGTTTTATGAAATGTATGAAAATTTATAAATTTACTTATTTATTTATAAACCTTGTTTTAAATTTATTTTATTAAATTTTTTTTATTCTTAATATTAAATGATATAAAATTATAAATATATGTATATATAAACTTATCTTACTGGTTTATTAGCAATAGAATAATCAATATTTATCGATTGACTATTTTTGGTTTATCAATATTAAAATTAAGTACACATATTTGGTATATTTTTAGAAACGAAAATGTACTTATAAAAATCATTATTTTTGATCAATATTTTTGATTTTTTTTATTTCATGCATTTTCAAGATATATTTGATTTTATTATAAATGAAATAATGTTCAGAATAAATATTCACAGAGAATAAGGAAGAAATGTTATATGAGAAAATTTTGATTATTTATGTAGATACATAAATTATGATAATATTACAAAGATTTATTATTATGACAATTTATTAATTTTTTTTCTTTGTGTATACTTTCTCCTTAAAAATATTCTAACCAGTATCTACTTTAGTCTTTAAATGACTATAGAGAAAGTAACATATTAAGTGAAATTGAGGTTTCATTCATTACAAATTTTATATGTATTTGTTCAAGTATATAAACAGATAATATAGTATATAAATATAAAAAAAAAATTTATATCTATTTATAAAATTTATATTTTAATAAAAAAAGCAAATTCCATTGAATTTTATTTTGATATTATTGTAATGATTCAGAAATTCAGAATTTCAAAAAAAATTCATAAAAAAAAAGTATAAATTAAGAAAACAATAATATTTAAACAAATATATAAAATATATTATTTTATTACAATTGAAAGTATAAATATTCTAAATAGTTGCGTAATTGTAAAAAATAAAAATATATACAAATAATATGTATTTTTAATATACATATGAAAAAATATCTACCCTCTTGTAAATATAATCTTTACAAGAGTTTTATTATGATGTTTTAAATCATTATTTGCTATAAATACAATGTTCTGATTTATATTCATTTCTTTGATATAATCTAGATTAATTATTTCATTTTATATCAGTTTAGAAATATCCATTTAAATTTTAATTATTAAATTATTAATTATCAATATTATTTGCTATAAGTAGTTATTTTCATAACGACAAAAGATTTTTTATTTCATGCAAAAATATTTTGAACGATAATATATATATATATATATAATGATCTTATCATTCTATATTGAAAAATTATAATTAAAAAAAAAATTTTTAATTTTAAATTCAAAAAGAATTTTTGAAAAATTCCTCTGCTATATTATTATTATTTTTAAAATTTCTACTTTAATAATAATTTACGTATTGATGATCAAAACTATTAATGATAATATTCAATAATAATTAACAAAAATAAAAATACAAATAATATTTTTATAAATATTTTTATTAATAGGTACAGAGTTACTTAATATGAACTAGTCAATACAAAAACTGTTATGATTAGAAAAACAGGTTGATATTTTTTAATTTGCAGATTTTTGATAATATTTAATAAGAAAGAAAAAAATTATATTATGTTCTTAATAATAAGTAAAGAGTCAAAAAATATGAAATTGAGAAAGTAACAACAATATTTTTTTATAAATAAAAATAAAAAAGAAATTGTTGAAAGACGAATATCTATCTAGAAAAAAATATATTCAAAAAAAAATATTTATATAAGTTCATAAATTCTTCTGATGATATATGCACTAAAATATCATTAATTGAATATAATATATTATTTCACTTTTTTAATTTTATTTCAAATAAATTGAGAAGAGATATATAAAAGATATGTATATAATTTTCAATTCAATTTATATGAAATTAATAATATTCTAAATACATTATTTAAACTATGATTGCCTGATAAGAGGATTAAAGAAATATTATAATTATATGCAAAATCATGTAAAATTTATAAAAAAAATTAATACCGTCTAATTTAACAATAAAAAGCACTTTTATTTTATCTAATTAGCGAGTATAAATAAATATTGTTGTAAATGTAATAGATATTATAGATGTATAATAGATGTATATTACATAATAGTTGTTTTAAGAGAAAACTTAGAGGAAAATGATATTCAAGTAAATCTTTCATTTGTGAAAATTCCGATTAAAGTTAAATTAACAGAGAACCTTATATGATTCCAAAGATTGATATTATATATAAAGAATTGGTACTTTATAATAAAATTTTATGATTCTTTGTTTCTTTTATGCGAGAGATATGGATATGTAATTTTATAACTTATAAAAGTTTATATCTTAACATAAATATAAAATACAGCATGTTTCAAGTTTGCAGATAAAATTTAACTGATATTTCCTAAAATAATTTCAAATAACTTTTTCCTTTGTAAAAATAAAGTTTCAATAAATAAAGTTTCAATTTTATTAATGAATTATTAATAAAAAATACTCGTTATAGTTGGACAAGAATATATATTGTTTTAATTATTTGTTCAAGCCCGGCAATTTGTTAACGGCATATATTTAATACTATTTGTTGTAGCGCAATAATATATCTGTGATTAATCATTAATAACTCATTAATAAAGTTGAAAAGAAAATTGAAGTCTTATTAACTTTTAGAATTATAGAACATAGACATTATAGAAATTTATATTTTAATATAAAATACAGTATATTAGTATATTCGTGAAAAATGTTTGAAGGATTGATTTTAGAATCTAAAATAAACACAAAAATTATTAAAATATCAATTAATTATTAAGATATTTTATTTATTAAGAATTTAAATTTCTTAATTTGTGAATTAAATGAAGAAAAATGGATTTATAATCATATCATTCATTTTATTTTATCTTCGTCTTGTTTCATGTAACGAAAATTTAAATGGGTATAACTTAATAATTTTAATATTATTTTTAATATTTGTATATCAATTTTTGTATTTGTTTCAGCTTCTGAAATCGAACTTTTAAAGATATTTCGAAATTAACATATCTTTATATAAAGATATGTTTAAACCAAATGAGCGAATGTTTTATTTCTGTTTCAACAAAATTCAAGTTTTTTTAATTTGTTAAAAAAAGATGAATATTTTTGTTCTACATTTTGTTCATTTGGTGATATTTTCTTAGAATAGTCTAAACGCATTCTAAGGGAATAATTATCGAGGTTAATATTTTTAAAATATCAATATTTATATCAGAATTCTATTTCACCATAAAACATTGTTTTATCGTTATATGTATAGTGTATAAGTAATACACATATATGTATGAATAAAAAAAGCATATCTAAGACATCTATATGTCTTTATTCAAATTTGCACATTAGTGTCTCTGACATAAGAGAAACAATATATAATTTTTGAAAAAAATTTACTTATACTACTTTACTATTTTTTCACTAAACTCAGTTATTTAATAAATATTATAAAAATGTAAGATATTTCAAATGATTTTTTAATTAATTTTTTTTAGATTTTAATTATTCTATGATAATTTTTACAATAATATTCTGATAAAGATAAAAAATATCGATAAAGTCACATTATAATTTATAATTTTTTATTTCTTAATATTATTTATGTCTCTTATATTTTGTTATATATATTTTTCCATATTTTTTGTAAATTAATTAATAAATAGAAATAAAAACCGTTTAGTATATTGTACAAAACTTGTAAGTATATAAATATTTGTTGTAAATTTAATGTTAAGCAATATAATAATTTTTAGAAATAGATTTTCAATGTTATATTAAAAATTTTCAGTTTTTTATATTTTCATGTATAAAACTTGATAATAAAACTTAAAATGCAAAAATTTAAATGATGTAAAAATATGTCATGTTTCTATACATTAATAATAAGATATAATTATTATATACATTAATAATAAAGATATAATTATTAATTTATTTTTCAAATTTACTAATTTATTTTGTTATTTTACACTTTAAAAATTAATAATACAAACTGGTGCATGCTATTAAACAATTTATGAAAAGTTATTTCTAAATATATTTGCCATATATATATATATATATATATATTAATATTTATTATTAACATATATATGATTGAATTCTTATTTTAATAGTCATTTTATGAATATTATGTGTAATATTAATAAAAAGATAGTACTATTTGAAACATTAAAGTATATTGCTGTTTTTATTGAATCTAATGCAGTTTTCATAATTATATATTTATTTTTATAATATAATATAATATAATTATAGAAATAATTGTATTATAATATTTTTGAGATTAATTAGATTAAAATTTTATTCATTCATTACATATATGAAATATTAAATTTAATTAAATTTATATATAATAATTAATGTATATAAATTATGTAAGCGCTATTAATCTATGTCAACTCTTGTACTATATCAGATTATTAAAAATAGTTTATATATAATAAAACATATGTTTTATTTTATTAATTTCCTATTTTTATTCATTATTATATGTTCATTATTAGATTATTATTAGAAATTTGCATCAATTTAAAATTCTCACGTAGAAATTAATAACATTGTTTTACTAATATAATTATTTTTTATTGTATTTTCTAGATAATATGTAATGAATATTATAATGAATTATAATAAACATATGTAATATTATTCAGTATTCAATATTCCATTTACATAATTCACTCGAAAAATAAACAAAAAATTATGTAATTAAAATCATTTTTTGTTTTATTTTGATTTCAATCAATTGTCAAGATATAAGAATTTAAAATATTTACGATGCTTGAAATAGAAATTATGAATAAATCCGCAAATGCGGATTTATAGTACGAATAGATTTGAAAATAACATTTTCGAAAGTTGTTGTCGATAAATATTTTTTGCTAATAGATATTACATTAAGAGTAAAAGTTATTATTAGATATCACAGTATCTATTTATGAAAAATTCTCTTAAAAGCAACTTTCAAATTAGAGAGAATTTTACTTTCAAATTATTACTTTCAAAAATATTATATATTTTTCCTACAAATGCATGTGTATAAAAAAAAAAACTAGTTGCGTTTATCATTGATCAGTTTTACTTGTTTATAACTTGGAATCTTCATAACGATATTTCATGAATTGAAAATCATAAGATAAATGAAAAAATATTTTAAAGGGTAAGGATCCATGCTTTTAATGATCATTCGTTGATTGAAAATACTATCTTCGAAGTTATAACGATTTAAAATTTATCTATTCTTAATAGGATTTAATCTAAATTATGATGATAAATTATTGATGATAGATATATTTATTTATGAAGAAATATTATTTCTTCATAATATAGTTGTTTCTTGAATCCAAAAATACATATATGGTAAGTATTTCATGTTCGATTGCTAAAAAAACAGATTAACTATTATGTTCCTTATTATTTGAGCTATTTATATTCGTTCCTATAAAAAAATCCGTGTCTAGGAACGACTTTTCATCGATTTTTAATTATTAATAATTAAAAAGCAAAGCTGAAAACTTATTTTTTTTATAACATCTTTTGTTGATTTTTATTTTACTTTTTAAAATTTTTTGATCTTGGAAAATTACTTCAATTTTTAAATAGCTGAATAATTAAATATATTTTCTTATTTTTTTTTACGAGAAATCATCTTAAAATGACTTTTAATAATATCTTATATTTTTATATTTTAATCCAAGCTTTTCTTTCTTTATTTGCTATTAAATAACAACAGTTTGGATATTAATACATATGTATATATATTTTTTCGATATCTCCATTAAATTTTGTAGCATTTTCTCTATTTCTTATTTTTTTTTTTTTTTTTGGTTTACATTTTCATCACTAACTAATAGGATACATATTTCAGAACAGCGAATAATTTTAAATGTAATTTTTATTTAGGCTATGTACAACACATACGTACAATACGTGACCCTTGCTTAAAACTATATTACGCTTGCCCGGTATACATCTCCACTTTATCATTTCTCCTCAGCATACTTAATGTGTGTACGTGTGCATGGCGTGTGTGAATGTGTTCTCACTATGCACATCGTAATAGAAATGCATGTATGCGTATGTTTTACATGTATGCTAATGCATATATGTTTTGTATATCGTGTGATATGTTACAAATTTTTAGGAACATTTCGCGTGGAACATCGCGGGCGATATTAATATTAAGGTTGCAGCAAAACTACATGAAAACAATGTAGTCTGCAGCTTCATTCTCGATCAATATATTAATTAGACAATTATCGAAAAATGACATCAATATAGACGATTGTTGATTGGACAGATCCAAATATCACCACTGAAAGACGTCAGGGAAAATGTTTAAAAATGTTTAAATAGAATAGAAATTTTTTTAAATACCTTGTTTATTTTCATAGAAGTATTATATCTAATAAAAAAACACGTTAGCTTTCCTAAATTAAATTATAGTTACATATGTAATTCCTCATTTTTTTGAAGTAAATTAAATATTTTTATTTAGTTCTATTCTATTTAAACTCAATGACTGTTTATAAATCACTATTTTAAAATTAAAAAAATATAATCAATTAATTAGTGCAGCTAACAAAAAAAATATAGGTTAAACTCTATTTTAAGGAGTTAACATAATTTTTTTTTATTTGATAATTATTGAATCCAAAAATATAAGTTTTATAATTAAGTATTAAAAAATTATTATATCAAAAGTTATATTATAAATATTTAAATAAATATTTAAATATAATGTTTCACAATACATATTATTAAAACAATTTTCAGATATTATAAATCTAAAGATTTTAGAATAATATCTTCGAAATTTGTTTTCGAAAACATTTTTAATAATATTATAAATACAATTATTCGATTGTAATTTTTATTTTTAACGTATTTAGTAAAAAATAAGTAAAAAATAATTCGATAATAATTTTCGAAAGTTTTATTTTCAAATGTATTTGTATCATTACATAAATTATATTTAATTTCAGTAAATAAAAATTTAATTAGCAATTTTTTAAATCAAAATTAAAAATCTGTATTATCTAATTTAATAAAAAACATAGTATATGTTTTCCATCACTACATATTTGTTTGTGTGATAATTAATTTGTTTTATTTAAATATGTATAAACATAAATATATATGCCTAAAATATATAATTTATAAGAAATTATAATTTTTTATCTTTATTAATACTTATATATTTGGATTCTATTCATTAAATATTATCACACAAAAAAAAGAAAAATTTATGTTTTTTAAAAATTCAACTGAGGTATTTATAATTAATTAAAATCAAATTCGTTTATAATTTAGTATATGATTTTTATATTACGCACGCACATATTAAAGTAAACTTTCACTTCAAGAAATATTTTTTAAGAATACAATTAAATATTAATTTATATTGATTTATATTGATATTTGGAAACATCTTATCTAATTGCTAAAATAATTTTAGCACATTTTTCACAAACAATTGATATTATAAGTACATTGTTTTTATTTTTATAAGACAGATACAAAATTTTTGATGTAAAATTATCAGAATCCAGAGTATATTTGATTGAGCATTATATGACAGAAACAAAATATGTACCCTTAAATATAAATTTCTATAATTATTCACAAATCCCTGGCGTCTCTCAAATTTCAAACGCAAGACATTATCAGTTATTCTCATCTCTCATCCCGATTATTTAAAATTCTATCCAACATAAGCACACAAATCAATATCTAATATTCCACTAAGTTTAGGTATGCTTACATTTTTAAAAGGACATTGAAAAATCGCATATGCTAGAATATTTGTTGATTACACTGTATACGTATCTCTTCCTTATTTACAATCTCTTTCATTTAACGAAATAATTTTGGATCGTTGTTAAGAAACTAACAAAAAGATATGGACTGTGCGCATTTCGAGTTCCACTTCATGTGTACATATCGATTATTTTAATTATAATTATGCATAGCATCTATCATATAAAAAAAAGAAAAAAGAAATAGAAAAATTAAAAAAAAAAAAATCATTCTTTTAAATATTATTTCTTTTTTATTGGTATAAAATGCGCGTGAAAAATATATAAATAAGAGATGAATCGAAACTTGATTTTTAAATTCGAATTTAAAACTATTATTTTTCAAAATTTTTGAAATTTAGAATTTTTATTTTCTTTCTTTTATTCAATATACTTTATCAAGAAGAGAATTTAAAATAAACAAATTTTGATTTTTAAAAATTGTTAGTTAAATAAAAATATAATTCATATCCTCGATATTGTTGTAACTTATTTACATTATTTAAATTATATTATTATTTATCTAGATTTCGATTCTTTTATAAAAAAATTTCGAAATTCCGAATATTCCATCCCTGATAAAAACAAATAAAAACAAAAGGAACAAACAACAAAACAAATATATACATATCGTATTGTATTCTATGAATAATCTCATAATAAATTTTAATGCAAAATTGCATTACGCGGCAATATGCATTTCTACTACTACTAGAAAAAAATGACGATCCTAAGAACATGTATTATTTAATTTAAAAACTCAAAAAGTTTGATCGAAATATATTACGCTTTGTACAGAATAATAGAAATTTGTGTACATACATAACCATTTTTCACTAATAATCATAGTGTTATGTGCGTATACATATATTTAATGGAATATACATATCCGCGTGTATGCATAACGCCGCACATGAATAATATATATATATATATATATTTTTTATTAATAATATCAAATGATATTAACAAAGTTACTTTACCAAAATATCGTTAACATTATGATGAAATGTTAGGTGATATCTCTCGTTAATTTGAACGCAATAGTCAGGACTGATTTTTCTATCAATAATATTATTAATAAATGAATAATCCTGGTAAGACATTAAAATGGAAACACGATTATTTATTTTCGTGTCTATTGGAAATTCGAATTTTTCGTTCTTTTTTTTTTTTTTTTTGTGTAAAATGTCACATGATTTAATTTGATTTCGTTTCACTTTTTTTTTCTTAATTTAATGCTTCATAGTATTTTTGAAACAACTTTTTCCTCTTCTTCTCTTGACAACACGTTTTTAATTGTCTGAATGAAGATACGCAGTCAAATATAATATTTCATAACGATTTCGTCGAATTATCCATTCGTATATGTTTACAATTATGTTTGATATTGTAGCATTGGCGCAGCGAGGTTAGGATGATGTGCCGTATTCATTCTCAGAGCGGAAATACTTTTGTTGTACCATTCATCTTCAGCTGACATTCCTGAAATAAAGCAATAAATTAATTTATCTTATTTTTTACTATATGACTATTATTACTCTTTTCATTTATTAGTTTCATTAAAACAAAACTGTCTATTAATTTTGGTATTAATTGGACTTGCATGAATTAAAATATTGTAGTATTTTTTAAATCTAAATATTTTATAAATATTTAATTTGATCATTTTAAGAAAAAAAATTTTTTCAATTTAAATGTTCAAGTTAAATATTGATAAATGATTTAATTCATAATATATATATTATGCACAAAATGTTAGTATATTCATAGATACTTTTGAAAACTATTCAATTTAATTTATTTTATTTTCTATTTAATTTATCTTTGGATTTTAGATCTGATCTTGAGATTTGAATTACCAAGATTCAATTCTATATATGTAAATAAATATATATTTTATATATATATTTAATTAATATAATAAAATATATATTCTATATATTTTTTCTTTTATATATGTGTGTGTGTGTGTGTGTGTGTGTGTGTGTGTGTGTGTATTTTGATTAAGAATTTAATAATATTTAATGCTAAAGAAAAATGAAATATTCATTGTCATTTCCTTATTAAAAGCGATTGAAAAACGAAAGTAAATTTTTTTTCTCTTATATTAGAATTAATAATTCAAGGATTCGATTTAATAAATTTTCCAAAAGGTTTATCATTAATCATTTGATTTTCCATCAAATTAAAACGTTAAATCGTTATAAGAATCAAAGATATTGAGCGAAGACCTACACTCGATACTGAATAAGAACACCAACACTAGTGAGTAGGCAATTCGCGAATAGTCTTGATTTGATTTTAAAGCGATATTCCATCTTGCACCGGAAATGATGTAAGACGGCGCTTGAGCGGAAATGGGGAAAACGTCTTGGACTGAACGAACGAATATTTGCACGGATGTCCGATCTCATCATTTCCGGTTCAACATTTTACTGAGTTATTTAATAATTTTAGACCAACACCTTAAATAATTAATAAATAATTACACAACAAAAAAAAACAAAACTGAAGAAAAACTGAAACAAAAAACTGAACAAAAATCTTTGATTATTTTCATAAAAATCTTGTTTACACTTTAAAAAAAGAATTTAAAGTTTTTATCATTTTCTTCGTATCGTTTTTATTAATTTAGATTATTTTCATATAGTTTGTATAACTTTGTTTTTTAAATTTTAAAAATTTTATCCTTCATATAAATTAAATTATTTTTTTTTTTTTATAGATTTTCGTTGATAATTGCTTGAATAATCTTAAATTATATATTCATTGAAAAAAAAAATATATCATTTAAAAAAATGAAATTGATTTTTATTGAATTCTATAAGATTAGTTATCAAAAAAACTATTTACATCAAATTATATGCTATTCAATATTATACAATTTTGATTTTTTTGTCAATAACAACCAAGATATTCAAGTAACCTGTATTAAACATTTCATTTTATATAATAATATTATTAATATATTAGTATAGTATATATAATAATATACATAACATATTAATCTCTAAGTAATATATTATCTATATAGATATAGATAGATTGATTTTGTTGTAATAATATAATAATAATAATTTCGTTGTTTGTAATAATATAATAATAATAATTTCGATTCTAATAATAATTCGAATAAGAAAAAATAAGAATTAGGATTATTTATTTTTATTTTTTATCGATAACGATATCGATAGTTACATTTGAATTATTATTTCTTTTTATGTTTTTATATTGAATATTTTTCAATAAGATCTTTTAATTAATATATGATATTTGGAATTATACAATATAATATATAATATATAATAAAATATTATGTTATAAAATTTATTAGTTAATAAAACTGATTAATGGATTAAATATATGTAATAATTACTTTAATAGTATATAGATAAAGATGATATACACTTACCCATTGCATCTTGTCTCATACCAGTAACTGCAGACATATTTGACGCTGAATGTGACATAGAAAATGGCTGGGTCATACTTGGATAGGACGTCGTGCCCATCTATAAACATAAATTTATATGTAAATTAGTTATTCATTACACGAAGGTAATACGATAAAATGTTCCATTAAATCATTTAAGAGAATATACTATTCATTAAGATCGAAGTGAATAATATGTACGAGTGTATTTAAAAATTTTTGATCATTTAGCAATATTCATTTATAATATCAAATATTATTTATTTAATGATTGTCAAATGATTTTTAATAATTAATGATTTTTAAAATTTATTAAAATTTATGAATATAAATATTTTATAAATTAATTAAAATTTATGAATATAAATATTAATAATTGGTTTTGTAATGTAAAAAAATTATGCTTTTCGAAGAGAAATAAATAAAAAATACTTTAAAATATTTTAATAAAAATATTAAATAATGCATATTAATCTATTATTCAAATTTAAAAATTTTTCTTATTTTAAAAAAAAATAATTTATATATATCATTTTTTCAAAAATTTTTTTAAAAATTTAATATTTAAAATCAATATAATCAAGATCAATCATAAAATTTTATACTAAACAAATACTTAGAACTTTATAACTGTTACAAAAAACAAATTTACATTAACACGATTGATAAGGTTATATTTAAAATTAATAAATATCCAATCACTTAAAAACTTATAAATATACAAATAATGATTAGAATTAATCGATAAAAATTACACAAATCAAACAAATATTACAGTGAATATCATCGAATAATTTTATTCCGGTATTTCAAACGTGACTTCGAAGATCGATTAAGAGGATCTCGAAGCTTTTTTATTGGCAAACCGATACGCTCGACGAATTATTGGCTTAATTAAACCGGTAGGCATTCGGTAATCCGTCCGACCCAACTAATCAGTCGAAATGCAATTTAGCTACATCGACCGATAGCGATGCGCCGGACGCTCAGGTGCACTTCAATTTAATACCTCGGTTAAAATCATTAACGAGAAACGCATCGAATTCATTCGTAGAGATACGATACGTTGCTTGTTAGGCGTGATGCATCGATTGTCACCGTTAACGAATTTTTTTCTTTTTTCCTTTTTTTTTTTATTTAATTTATACACATATATCATAATTGGAACGTAACAATGGATTAACATCTTGAAATATTCATATTTTATTGGATACAGTAAAATTTATCCGTTATTATCCGTTTATCGTACTTTATACATGAAGAAATTCAACTTAATCGAAAATTTTGATTTTATTAAAGTTTATATTTAAAACATAATAGATTATACATAAAGCAATTTTTTAAAATTTATAATAGTTTTACATAAAATATAAAATTTTAAAATTATTTATTATTTAAAAAATAAAGAGAAATATTAATGTACGATATTACAATAATACAAAAATGTTGTTGATAATTGATTAAAAAAAATATAGTAGTTATAATGAAATTAATATAAAAATTAATTTAAAAGGAAATAAATGAAATATGACTTACCTGAGGATAACGATTTATTCCATTTATGCTATTATGAGGATGAGGATACGGTTGATAACCTCTGCTAGCACCAGGATATATATTCCTCATCATAGCACCTTGACAAGCAGGAATTGGAGTCAAAGCCTTCTGAAGTTGTTTTTCTTGCTTCCGATATTTTGCTCTTCTATTTTGAAACCAGACCTATTAGTATAAACAGAATAAAAATGCAATAAAATCTAAAAAAAAAATCTGTTAATTTTAAAAATAATAATATTTGATATTATTCAAATAAATAAAATAAATCGGGATGTATGCATAAATATTATTTTAAAAAATATCTTTGTTGAATTGTATATTTATTTTTTATTTATTCAGTATATATTATATTATATATCAATAAAGACTATTATAAATTTTTATGTATGATAATTTAATAAATTGACAAATAACAAATAATAGGTATATAGTTTTTTATTATTCTAAATTAATTTTTACAATGTATTTATAATTGTAATTAACTAGTTTGTAATTTGTAAAATTTAATTGTAGAATTATTAAAGAGTTTCTCTTTATAAAAGAATTTATTATGTGTAATAATTTGTAAAACTTCGTTAATAATATTAATTTAATTATGCAAAAGAGTCCAGCTATATATTTTATTTTTTTATATAAAATAATCTTGACTAGTAGCATTATAATTAAAATAACTAAAATCAAAAGTAATATTTTCATTTTACATGATAATTTAAAAACTTATTTACATTATATTTATAATAAGAATTTTAATATAATAATATTATACATTTATTCTAACATTATTTAATGATAAAACAGTTTCGTTTTAGCAAAGTTATTCAAAATATACTATTGAAATTACAATTTTGTCTAATAGCAAATTAATTGTAATTTTTGTTTTAGAAAATTAAAATATTTATTATAAATTATACACAAAAAATGATTTTATATTCATTTATATTCATATAATAATAGGAACATATTTAAAGATATTTAAATTATTAAATTAAATTTTTATTAAATTAGATTTATATCAAAATCATAATAATCATATTTTTAAATCATTCTTTTGCATTTTTCATGTATCTAATTCTTATAATCATTGAATCGTATTTATTTTTCATTTGATACCTAACCTAAATTGCTTAAAGAAAATAATATTTTTTATCAAATATTGCATATCGTTTGCAATTTTCGATGCCAATAGATAAAATCATCTACATTTTTTTAGTTAAATTATAAATTTTCACTAACGAAATATATAAAAGAGAATTTTATTATATTTAGAAAAGTCAGATTAAGATTAAAAAAAAGAAATATATTTTTGCACAGAGAAAGTTTATACTTATTATAATTTTAAAATATTGATTGCAGAAATAATGAAAGATTAATTTAAAATATCAAAAAATAATTTTCTTCTTAAATGAACATAAGTGTTTATTTTATATTTATATTATTAGGATAAGAATATTTAATTATTTTAATTTTAATTTTAATTTTATTTAATTCGTGCATCATATAATAAGTGAAAGATTAATATTCATGTATTTAAATTTATTAATCAAAAAATCTAAGAGAGATTATAAATAAATTATTTTTCTTGTTAAATAATAATCAAAAAATTATATTTGAAATAATACAAATTAAGACACGTATATTTAAATAATTATTTTCAATACAATTTAATAAATTGTTATTTCAATTAATAATTATATTTTATATTATAATATATATTAATAATTTATAATAATATATTTTAAATAAATATTTTCTACTATTATAACTGTAAAATAAATCTTCAAATATCATTTTATTTCAACAAATCTATTTTAATAATTATTTTCTATATATTTTATTTAAAATATTCAACACTAGACAAATTATTTAGGTTAACATTAATTAAGTTATTATTTAGGTTAATCAAGGCTTTTCTAATTCACAAAATCACAAAACACATAGAACTATATTTATCATAACCATTTTTCACTATTGTATTTATTACAATTATAAATAAATCTTCAAATATTCTTTGATTTCAATATAATTTTAATCGAAATGTACAAAAACCGGACAAGTTCACTTTTTTAATATATTGCTCAGCAATCAGCAAAAAAATTAGACAAGTCTAATATATTTATATATAATACATTTATATATTATCTAATGTGATTTTTGAAAAGAAGAAGTTATATCCAAAAAATTTAATTCATTTTTTTACAATTTTAAAAATTTAAATTTACCCACTTATTAATAAAAGTTAAAAGATAAAATTCGTTTGTAAGTTTATCCAAGCATATTCGAAAAAAGTTATTAATTAATGACATATGAACTATTATCTCCCTCTGTTATCTTTAATTTCAACCTATCGATCTCAGAGGATAAAAAGTATAAAGAAATTCACAAAAAATTAATTTACTTCTTAACTTCTGTCGGTAATATACTTTTCATTTTTTATATAAAATATTGCATTGTAATTTATGTAGTACTAGGTTAATCGAGATCTTCCCTGTTAAATGAAAAACCAAAATACGTGGAAAATATTCGAATGCGTGCTTGAAAATTCAATCTATCGAAACGCATTAACCATATCGTAAACGAACCATTCCTCTTTCACCATCTATACTGAGCTATATATATATATGTATATGTATATATATATTTATTTCGTCCTTTCTCGGACTCCCTGAGGTAGACTAGTTTATCTATCGCCATTTTGCATCGGGCAATTTCCATTGTTTCGCGGGATTAGTAAACCCATATTGGGGGTTGCCTGAACCGCCACCACCGGCTCCCCGGTATGCACACCGAATCCCCGAACCCCTGATCGCCTACCCCCTTATCCCGCCTACAACCACCCTTCCTACAGTGCCTCCTTCTTCGTTTCCCCTCTCTTCTTCCGGGTTCTCGTGATTCCCTACCCAACCGACCCTTTTCCTGTGCAATCCCCCAGAAAGAGAAAAGCCTCTCCCCTGGTTGGGGTCGACTTGTTTCCACCCTCGTGGTGATGTTACCGGGGCCTCCTGATTGGCCAATGCCACGACTGTGACGTCACTCCAAGCTTCCTCATTGGCCAACATGTTTTATCGACATTTCTACTGTATATCGTCTCTCCTCCTCTTCACTCTCTCTCTCTCTCTCTCTCTCTCTCTCTCTCTCTCTCTCCATCATTCTCTCGCACACAACACACACGCAACAGAGAATATATATAAACATACATATGCGTACTCTCTTCTGTTCTCTGTTTCTCTATCGTTCTTATACATTATCGTGCGGTGAAACGAGTGACACACGAGGGTGGCTCGATCAGGCCTGTTCTGTTGCTTCCTACATTTTCCGTATATATCTTTTTTATGTGTTATTTTTGTTTTTTTTTTGTTATTTTTTGTTATTTCTCTTTGAGTTGATCAATCGTATAGTGTTATCTTTCTTTCTTTATGTTTTGTAAATTTTTTCTTTCGTAACATATTTTGAAGTGTGATCTGTAATGTATTTATCTTTTCTTTGAGAAATATTCTGTAGCAGATGAATAAGGCAACATAAATGCAACATATGCAACATAAAGGCAACATATGAAAAAAAAAGAAAGGATATAAGTAAAAATTACAAAAAATTATTGCTACAAATGAAATATTATATAGTATACATAGAATGAAAAAGTAACTGTTTCGTGACAAATTTTTCATTTAGCATGCATAATCGTACTGATTATATTATAAATTATAAAAAAATATGAAAAAGAGATTTTATTTCATTTTTAATTTATGTAAATATTAAACTTCAATCCTTTAATTTTATTTTTGTTATTTTATTTATTTTTCATTATAAAAGTGTTTAATAAATATCTATTTAGTTTTAATTGAATATTTTGTTTTATGAATTAAAAAGTTATAGACCTGAAACCTCAAGTATAATAAGTTAACTAATAAGATAATTAATAAAATAATTAAAGTCTTGAAAACAAAAAATCTTAGAAATAATTATTATTACTATATTTTTTTGAAGAAACAATTAGTAAATTTTATATAAAATATCATCATTAGCATGGAGGATTGATATAATTTCTTTCTATAAATTAAATTTTTTGAATACAATAATATCGACAATAATATTGTTAGACAAAGAGATTGTGCCGATAATTTCAAAAAGAGACGCACTTGTGCATACGTGAGTATCTGGATATACCAACATCATTTTAAACTGCACATACGGAAATCATGGAACAAGCGAAGCACCATGCATAACCAATTACGACCCGCATTTGAATTCACGGCACATGAGCCGATTTGCACTTGCACAAAAGATACTTGCATCCCAAATAATTTGAATTTACGTGTCACCCTGAGTCATTAGTTTCATGTCGAAGTTCTCGTTGCCTACGAGAATCTATTATTAAAAATAATTATTAGAAGTTATCAGTAAAACAGGCATTAGTAAATTTTGTTAATAATATATAATTAAAAATATTTATATAATTGTTTTTTTGTATTTTTGTATTTTTGTTTTTTATTATTTTCAATGAACAGTAGGCAAATTTTTTTATATTTAATTATTTATTAGAATTTTATAAATATTATAAAATAGAATTGAAAATAATAGATAGATAAATTAAATAATAAAAAAAATAGATATATTATAGTTATAATTACATATTTTTGATATGATAGAAATTTATACTAATAATTAATATATATTATTTATTAAATATATTATAATTATATATAATAATAATATAATTATACTATAACCTGAATATATAATATATATGTATATATATATATATATATATATATATATATATATGAATCTCAATATTATTATTATATTAATTATAATTCTAATAATTAATATTGTTTTGTAATATAATAATATATTTACATTATATTATAAAACAATATCAACTTATGAGATAATATGTATATAATAATTTATATTAAAATTTAAGGAATATAAATTTTTAAATTTTAAGTTTTAAAGGTATGTATAATTCAAATTAATTACATTTATAATACGTTAGATTCGCTTTTCAATATATTTCATCTTTCCTTTAAAAATTTATAATAATAAATTAAATTAAATTACATAGAATAATACGAAATAATTTATGAATTTTCTTGTTAATTATTTTTTAAAAACATTCACACGCATTTTTTTTTTGAAGATACATTCTATAAATACATACTGTAGTA